TCTCTTAAGGGAAAACCAAAAAAACTTAAGCAGACTTTCTGAGGCTGTTAAGACTGTTAAACAGCTGAAGGAATAACTAGCTGAAGCATCTATATTGAAGCATCAAAATTCCCTTTCCCACTCGCTTTGATGGTTGGTTATTCGGACAGGACAGAAGACGATATTCCTAACCGACTGATTGCAACGCCTGGTAACCTACTGCTTTCTTCACGAAAACACTCACTACTGTAAAGACGAGATGTTCTACCTTCAAATGAGAACTTCCTGCAATCTACCTAACCGTTAAGCGTTTCCAACACATATTGGAAAGCAGGGACTTCATAATTCATACGGATCATAGACGAATAACCAATGCGTAGAAAGATAGGGCTGACAAATATTCTTTTTGGGAGGTCTGAAACCTTAACTATGTATTACAATCCATCAGTGCCATCCAGCACGTTGAAGGTTAAGACAATCAGGCGGCAGATGCACTATCTCTACCAGAAATGGACACGATACAACAATCTATAGCAAATTTTGAGTCATCTCATCCTGGGGTGTAAGCCACTATTAAAATAATCAATTCCAGATATATATGGCCAAATTTACAAAACGGTGTACACAAGTAAGTTAGTGAGTGTTTGTCGTATCAACAATCAAAGGTTACCCGTCTCACAAGTTCACCCCCCCATAGCCTTCCCACAGCCAGATGCACGTTTTGCCCAGACTCTTACGGAGTGGGTAGATCCTTTACCGAGCTCTTATCGTTTTAATTATCTATTAAAATGCCAAGACAGATTCACAAGTACGTGTTATTAGACCGTCCACCTAACAAAACAATTACAGATTCGACAAGCTACGAAGAGAATCCTCCACAGGTGACCTAGAGGGTTAGATGGGCGTAACCAATAATTCAAACGAAGATATATACCGTTTGGTCTTAAGCCTAAAATTCAACCACATATCTACTAAAAAGCTAGGTTTTATTACGTCCCGTTTTACTGCTCCACATATAAAACTTCGAGCACAATAATGGTTGTTAATAAGTCATTTGTACACGCTTCACAAATATACACTATTAATAAAAGTAAATCAACATAATGACAACTTTACTGATTGGCAGTACAGTGATGGTCTGATTTTGTATACTCTCAGACATTCTACTGAACCATTGATAATCAGTTAGTTTGTAAGTTATTCCTAGTTTGACCTTATTTAATTTGGTATTATTTCACATACGCCTTAGCATTCAATACAGTGGTTGAACTAAGTACTAAATGTTTGTTTGGAAACTGAATATGGTTGTAACGTCAAGGAAATAACGCAGAGACCTAGTGTAAATACTCTCATTTATTTCATCTACCTACATATATACATAATTCCTATTAGTTTATAAATACGGACTGATTCCTGTTTTCGTCTAAAATGAACTCTACCATAAACACTCACATTTGGCTTTCTAGTACCATATTTTCAATATTATTTGATAAAGCGATGAACCTAGTATATGAATTTTAAAAGAGCGTTTAGAAAACGGTGTTTATCGACAAAACCAAGGAAAATGTACTAGTCAATACAATTCTTGAGTCTTACTGAATAGTCGTTAAAAAATTTGCGTACAAAGTGAGTAATAACAATTTGCCGGACTTAGCAATCGTAAGTATATCAAAGCATAGTTTCTTGTTCGGAGAAACGGGTGAAGTTTGATCCGTTTTTATAACTGCTGAATTCTTGTGCACCAATGGCATCGATTATGTTCATAACAGAATCATGTGTTTTAAAATAGCTCAGGAATTCATAAGTATGCGAAGGTCATGGCCAACCTTGTACCTAAACTTTTTAGCAATTTTATCAACAAATAGCAGTGATGATCGGCCAATGACGAAAGGACTACTGTTTGATAAGTAATGGTGCTTTAGGAAAAAGGTTTTAATTATTTAATCGTTTGTTGGTGATAGTTAATCAATTACGATGAGTGTCCATTTATTTTGTTTGCCTCATCGACCGATCAGCCTTCACAGCAGAATAGATGCCGTTGAGAATTACAGTCAATAAATCTCTACGCCCTAATATGCAATTTTCAGCTAGAGATACGAGTACAGCACTGAAATATTAGCTTTCGGAGTGACAAGCCACTGTGGTGATATGAATCGATTATTGACTCGGCATTTCAACTATTGATCTAATTCTCAACAAGTACTTCAGCGATTGCAAGTGCAGAGATATTCTGGTTGGAGTACGCTATCATCCATCCCTCCGATTGCTGAGTCGGATGCGTCTACGGCGATACTAATGGGCGCTTGAGTGTCCTGATGCGCAAGCAGGGTTGCCTTAGCGATGTGTTCCTTAACTGTGGAGAATGCTTTACGGGCTGTGTCGTCTAAACTAATTGATTTTGCATTTACACGAAGTTGGTCGGTCAACGGTTTCATAAGAGATGCGCATTTAGGTATAAACCGTCTGTAGAAACTTACAGGGCCGTTGAAAGTTCGCAACTGTTTGATCGTGGTCGGTTCTGGGTAATCCAGAATGGCCGTCACTTTGCTTCTATGGGGTCGGATGCCTTAGGCATCAATAGTGTGTCCTAAGAAGTCTAAGGAGTTGGTTCCGATTTGGCATTTCTGAATGTTGACAGTATGACAGAGTATGACATAATTCCGAGATGTCATTCGGGGTTGTTTGAGGCTTTTCTTTGACTGAAAAGACCTCAACGCTAGTTGACTTCTTAATTTCTAAAATTCAATCAGCAGATGCAGCTAGTTCGTCTACGGCGTTGTTTTGGAACGAGACGAGAACTGCCTGCACCTGTTTTGGGAGTTTGGATAAGAAAAGTTCTTTAAATAGGCCTTCGTCGAAGGTTCTCTGACCTATCACTTCTCTCATCCTAAGCAACATATCTGTAGCAGAACCATGTTGCAGGTCGATGTTATGGAAGAGTTGGTCTAACCGTTGTCGATCAGTTAGGTCTCCACGTTTTAGGATCGATCGTTTTAACGTTTCAAAGGTTCAGGAACATCACTAGTAAACATACTAGGTGTTACGTACCTGTTAAATTCGCGCGGTAACGCCTTAACTACCGCGAGGAATCGTGTGCGCGAGTCCGTGGTTCCGTGCCCGCAAAAATCAGCTTCTGCGTAGCAGAACCAGGACTCGATATTGTCAGTTCAAAATGGCGTTAACTGAATCGAAGTTGGGGGAATAGAATTTAACTTAAAAACCTTAGGTGACTGTTCCGTCATAGTAATATAAAGAACGTATGATATTTAATTATAATATATCCCCAAAAACTCGCAAAAAAAGTATATCACAATATATAAAAATCAAATAAAGAATTACAATGAATAATAATATTCCAAAAGGGGACAGACTCACAGTTTATTGGCTTGGTGTACCAGATCACGTAAGGCTCACCACTGAGGTTACGACTGGTACTCTAGTTTAACAACTAGCGGCCAGTAGTACCTTCTATATTCGAAACCTTCTTACGCCCGATAGAAATCAGAAGTCAGACGAGAAGAGGTAGGAAAGATATATTTGATACGTTACCAATATATCGAGAGGCGTTCGTTATTAACTGACTATTGAAAAGTAGGAGCTGTGTCCCATGCCGAGTCGAAACGTGATCTGGTACGGATGCATGACCGAAAGCCTTCAGTTAAACAAGTCCACATAAACAACGTGGTCAGCATCCAATGTCGAACACTTAATGAGCTATTGATTTTGGGGAATTATTTACAGCTACACGACTTTTCGCTGTGATGGCATCTGTAAAAAGCTTAGGTGAAGAGAGGAGTACATTAACGACCCAGACATATCAAGTCTTTCATCAGGCATAAGAAAGATTTTTGTAGAGATTGTTGTGTGAAGGTTGGTCCCGCCTCTGTGATAAAAGGAGTAATTATGTGTGATGTTTAAGAGTATTTGAATTAAAGTATGAACTAGTAATCGCAGTAATAACGCAATTTCATCATGGAGTATTAGTGAGCATGAACTAATGAACTTTATTTGGAATTAAAAATGAAAACAGTCATCAATACAAGGGATTCATTAATTCATTCAAAAACTACAGAATGAACTTTCCTTGATAATTGCAGTCATATTTGACCAAACAAACGATCACGACGTAAAAAAAATACCAGATGCGTGTATGTGATATAGAATAGTCATTGTCAAATACCCTCGCTCCACAGATTACTGGAGCTAAAGATCGACTCCTTAGCAGTTTAAAATAGCAAACAATAGGGTAATTAGGCGAAAACAATGTTAGCTGAGTAACGACCAATATCAATTTTTTCAAAGGAAACCTTTAGATAGTCATCTGCCTGTGGTTTCATCATATCTTCCAAGTTGACGTATTTCTGTTGCATTGAAACAATAATTTCACCTATGGATAAGACACCAGATTCCACATTAGCGTCCATCTGATAAACCTGAAATCGGCCAAGTTTCTTTCATTTTATCTGAACGTAGAAAACGATCATCAAATTATTTCCGAAGCAACTCATGACGAACAAGTTGTTTTTAATACTTACTTCGAAAACATCATGGAAATAACCTACGGTATATCAAAGCAGGGCCTACCGAAACTTGATATCTAGGATAGTCTGTTGTGACTGAATGACAGTTGGAACAAATATTTAGCCTTTAAAATCAGCGTCCCTCCACATAACCATCAAATTTTAAACCGTTTTATCTCCTAATGATGTCTCAGAAACACCCTTTAATAAAAGAAATTATTTTTTCTTAATGATTCCTACCTTGACTTGTTAAGGCCCTATTTATACACGTCTGGCAATATTTACCTAAGCCGAAGTTCTGAGACAATAATGACCTTTGGCTGCTAGACCTTAAAAACAGTGATCGAAAGCTCTGTCTTTAAAACAGTCATCCGAAATAATTAGTCACCCCATTTTTTAATCGTTCAGGAGAAGGTTACATAGCCTCTGAAAATTCAAAACGTGTACCAGCTATCGCGTGTGTTTACCAGTTGAACCGCTTTCATTAATCGTCCTTTCAAGATGAGTGATAGTAAGATAAACGTACACCAAAATGTAACTTAATTAAGTTAGAGAGGACCCACCATATCCAAAGTCTACAGAAGTCGATGGTTTCCCGCAACCATATCCCCCTCAATATCCTGGTAAGAACAATTGTTTGTGTTTGGACTATCCAGCACTATTTTGATCAAGCTAAGTTTAGAAGTATTCCAAAGTTTTTATGCAGACCAGTCTATAATTTGTGGACTACTCATGGGAGTTAGTGAAGTGTTCTTATTGTCAACCAAATAATATGATCGAAATAGGGTTGAAGACGCCACAGTGTTATAAATTAGTATGAGGAATCAATAATAAAAACATAACCGTAAAATAACATTAGGAACTGAAACTAGGGTTTCCATCACGAGCCATACCAAGTATAGTGCCAAAGTCTAATTTAGTCATATGTATGGATCGATTGCGCCCCGAAATACAACAATCGTTACCTTAGGTATGATTGGTTCGTCGATGGTTTACATCCTCCTGACAAAAAACCACCTGAATTTTTGTGTCATGTTTCTGGTCTTTATGGTTCATTATACTCATCTGACAATATATTTAAAGTTATTTTATTAATCAAACTCTTAAGATTTCACTCTTAGAATTATAGGACTAGGTGACATAACTGTATATCGATCAGATCTTCTAATTTAGAATCCGATGAGCACAAAGATACCGTAGATTTTATCTTCGATTCATTTAAAAAGACATACTGATCATGGTCAGATAGTAATAACTGCCATTTTCGTTCAGACTTTGATGTTGACTATGATTACCGTTTCTCGGAGGACTACGATAGATCACAAAGTCCTTAATGATTCATTCAATCTATCATCAACGTCAATTTTCTGAGTCTTAATACGATGTAAGGGCACCTTTCCAAGCATAAAGAACATATCCGCGACTAGTTTATGTGATACAACTCTCTACATTTATGTCATCATCTTCTTAATCATAAGTTCATCAGTCTATGCCTCCTCTCAATTTTTTTTCTTCAGAACACTGTAGTCTCCCATATTGTTATCATTCTGAATATCATAATTACAGAGTCATGGTGTCGGCATTGTCATATCCTCCTATGAATTATGTATCATCAAGATATATGATATAATGTATTAAATATTTAGAGCACGTTTGCTAACAAATATTTAAAAGCTACTCAAAATTTAACATGAAATAATACATTAACCACATAAAATACCCCAACACTAGAAACCTAAGTTGATATATTTTGTTTACATTCTGAAAGCTTCGTTTACAATTCGTAGTCTCATAAATATCGTAAAACGTAGAATTAATAATCAATAAATAAGGCGCAGCAACCTTTCAAAGTGAATAATAATTTTTATATACCTAATGCCTGTTTTTATAGTGTATGAGAAACAAGTAAGTTGCTTGTGCTCAATTTTCTTTAGGTAACAGAAAACTATACTAGGGGAGTTAATATTTCTAATTAGTGACAATTTTTCTCAGTAAAATAGCAATCAGATTCATAATGATTTGTTTTTATCTCCATGTTTGGACATTTATGAATGGGCGAGCAGGTTTTTAAACAACAGGCAAACTTCTTACTTACGTTTAATTTCTTACTTGCCTAAAAGTTTTACTACCCATCAAAAACTAATAACCATTCCACTTTGTATACCTGCTAAACGAATTTAAAAACTAGAATACAAACAAACATGAGCAAACTACAACATCAAATAGTTCAAGTCAATAGTAAAGGACTGTGAGAGAGTTCTTCATCAAATTTGTTCATGGACTTCTGCTGCCAAAAGTTGTTTATAAACAGAGACAAAGTTACGAGTTAGTTGAGACTACCTTTACCCAGTTTTTCAAGCATTCATTGGTTGATCTAAACAATGCACGATTGAATTTCACTGACGCAACCAGTCACTAAAATACTGTAAAATTAAATGCCTGTAAAAGTAATGTCCCGTGAAATATTTCATGAGGAGTTTATTAGGAGATCTATACTTTTGTATGAAGTTCATCAGGGTTTTTTTGAAATTCGAAAAATTCAAAGTGATAGTTTTTTCAGGATTGTATTCAGCAAAGCTTCTGTTTAATCCTAAATAACCAGTAGATTCAACAAATCAAAGACACCTGGGCCTCTTAGTGAAGACCTCATAATGTACGCATTAAATATAAGTAATGACCCTGTACGATATCTTTAAAATATTTCCAAACTAAACTGCTTTTCCTATCGATCACATATCAATCGATCTTCCTTTAATTCTTTTTTGATTAACTAGAACATTAAGATTTGACTTTTTTAGTTAACTGTATACTATAGATAGAGGATAATGCAACGAGTCCCTCACTTAACTTTTCTTGGATGTTTCATCAACCCCGATGAGTAGGTGTTGGGTTAAATCTCAGAGCTAAATCAAAGGACTTGGTTTCTGCCAATTTATTTCGCTTGGGACATGGGAAAGATATTCGTTCGGTAACCAAAGCATCATTAATCCGTGTAAAAGCTCCTTTTTTCTGATCTGCCTTTTAAACATGGTCTCTAGGAGTACGGAATATTCGTAAGTTGCCAGTGTTGTAAAGGATAACACACGCGGGGTCAAACAAATGTATTTTAATACACATTTACAGAATATCTTGGTAAACTCTGAAAACTATTAAATAATTCCTTCGTTTGTAAAATATTTGTATTTCATCATGTACACCTTGGGCGCATTGCTTGTATGTGTTAAAACCACTAGTTGAGCAATACCGATGTCAGATGCAGAACACTAGGTAGAGATAAAAAGTTGATCCATGAAGCCATGACCCACCTTTGAGTGAAATGGTCGGGATATGCACCACCTACCTTTAACGTTTGCTTACCTCAACACTCGACATCTGTCATTTCAGGAGCAAGTTTGAATAGAGTTAATAATTCTCGGACCAACATATGGTTTTATTCTATTAATCTGATGATGCCTGGAGTGGGCCGTATTTGTCGATAGATTCCCATACTCTAGGTTTTGGAATTATCGTGACCAGCGTAGAAAGCGCCAGGTAATTAGACCTAGAACCAGTTGTTATGGCACAAAACATTCATTCTTTGTCTTCTTTTAGATGTTGAATCTAGGAACTGTCCCAAACGTTTCACCCACTAAGTTCATTCTTTATTCTCAAAAATATGGTTGATGCCTATCGTTTTGTAATAACTTAATCTGGCTGTGACGATTTGATGTTGGAACCTTAATCTATGCACATATGTATCAAATTTTACTCCGCTAATCACAGACTAGAAAAAGTAATTGCTTCGTCATAACATTACACGTTTTTTGTTGACTGCTAATGACACAGCGTAAAAATAGTGAAATTTTATTTATATTCATCGCGTAGTTTGTTCGGTGTATAAATTTTTGCTGTGCTCCTGCTCATAGCCAAATATGATCGCGTTTACTTAACCTAGTTTACAAAACGTCTCAAAATACCCTGGTACGGCTGAGGTTGGTGCGAGTCCATTCTCCCCCTCATAATTCTCTTACATGAACACGAATATACAGCCACCGACATGGAAGTCCTACTCAATGCCTTCTTGCAACGGGGGTGTTGTTTAAGAACTTGAGAGGATAAATGGCAAATTTTTGGCTCCTTACTCAGATTGGTGAATACAAAAGATACACCTAGGGCAGTTAGAAAACCTTGATTCTAACCCAATGTTGTACATTGGCTCCAGGATCATGAAGGAATCAATGGCATATGAACTTATTGTTGGTCACCGGCTACCATGGGAATGAGTCTACTTATGTTGCCCCACTGACTTGTGGATTAAAAGTCCAAATCAAAAACTCACTGAGTGGCACCCTAAGAAAACAACCTGCTTTGGTTTGGGCACCCAGTCAGTAACTCATTCCTGACAAATTCGACTGATGAAATGTGGTGAGTATATATTCGGTGTCCCCTTGTAAGAATAATTATGTATTTGGATCAATAAATAAATGAGATTTACAAAATGATAGGTCTCGTTCTCAATTCAAACTTGTATTACGCATACAATTCTCAGCTTTAATATACCCATATGCTGCCTGTAAAGTGAAACAAGAGATATAGGATGAGTTAAATCAAAACGATGCTTGCGTATTTGCGAAAAACCAAACTAAATTCATCAGACAAATAATGGCTTGACTATATATGCACGTGACCGCAGTTATAGGAAATATTTTGTACTGACTTTCCACAGGCAAAGCATGATTAGGGCTGATTTCTTCAATCATGTTCCAAAAATGTTATTCCTTTGCAAAGTCGATAAGTAGCTGTTTTCCAACGCTTTTGCACTTGATTTCAGTTTAGTGTGACCATTATTTTCAAATTATTTTCCTGTTCGTCATAACTACCGACAACAATTTTTTTATTATATCTGTTCTACCCAACAATTAGTGTGCTTTGTCACACTCGAGATACAGTACTAATCAGCAGTTTTGTGTACAAATATGCAATTCACGATAGGACCAACTTACACTTCAGAATTCTGCAACATATAAGCTTTTCGCTCATATATAACTTCGGCACCTTGAAATAAACACTTGTTATATCAGGTAAAAAATTATCAGCAGTTTTCAAGTTTAACTACATTATTGTACTAACGATTTCACCCTGAACTATAAATTACTTTGTGAGTATATATATGATCAATTTTCTCAAGTTAAGAATAAGAATTTCAACAGAAACGTTAAAGTCAATGTTTCAGTCAAGTGTCTGTTATCAAACCTTACCAAAACAAATCATGTTCATTCACTGATGAACTGGTAGACTTGTTTCATTTTTAGAAATTCTATCATACGAATTAAAGGAAATGCAGCAAAAAAATAAAAACTGTGATATGCTGTTTTTAGTTAAAATATTCTACTAAACACATCAATGTTTCTAACCATCAATCTCTGTTTTTACAGACCCCAAAACTTTACTATAGAACCAGGAAAAACAATTATTGGATCCTTGTTCATAAGTCATCACTTGATATTACTACCCCAAAGATTTCTTCTTTCAAATTAGATACAATCACACTTCGTTCATTTTCCTCAGATATCACTTGTACAGAACTCATCAAGAACCAAATTGTATATTTATTGCAACCAGTTATGTACTTTATCCATTCAGTAACTAAAATGAACAAATTTTAAACTTGTTTTAGATACGGTAATTTCGGAACAGCCTTGTCCAGTAATCACCGATTCACATTTTGCTCCTGGACCAGATCCAGTAAATACCATGTGTTCATACTGTCATAAAGATATAACAACTGTTGTGACCTACAAAATAGGTATATTAACATGGGTGGGATGTTTCGGGATTTTTCTAGTTGGGTAAGTCTTGTCATACTTGTAAATATACATTTATGCATATCATATTTCACGCATATTTCGAGATTATCAGGGAAATTAGCTACATAATTTCGAAACACACAGTTACTTTTATACTTAACGGAAAAGTATCAAGCAGATGAGAACTGAGAGCATATATTTCTCTTTTGAAATTAAGATTCAACGTTATCTGTACATCTAAAATAAGATTATTATGCGTTTTTGAAAATTAACTCTCACACAAGTTCCTCTCAACTAATCAGTGATGAGAAACAGAAAGCCTTCAAAAATCTCTAATAACTTTTGTATCACGTTTCACGTACCTCTGTATTTAAATTACACCGAACATTCCTGTCATCCAAACATCTAAAACAATCGGAAATCTCTTTAATTCATTATCCTTTATCATTGGTAAGACTGAATAATCAATCTGATATCCTTCTCAAGACCACCAAGCAGACAACGATGAAAATATATGTCAGGAATTATTTGAAATACATTATTTTCATTATTATATGATTCTATAAACTGTAAAATCTCATGAAAATAATATGATGAAAGTTACTTCTTCAACATAATAAACACAGATCATTTACAATGATAAAAAAGTCTTCTGGTTTCAAATTCATCTGGGTAGCTGTTATGCCAGAAAATTGTATGGAAATCAATTTATCTAGTTGATAAAAACAACTGAACTAAGCAATTAACCATCGACATATAACTGAAGCATAACAAATCTAGTTTTATTAACTTGCTAAACTGTTTTTTAATCCAGTTTAAAATTCACAATCTCTCACGTCAGTTTATTACTATCATTCAAGTATTTCGTCTCCCTTGTACTCGTTCATTCTATCTCTATTTCGTAATGATGAAATAATTTCAAGATAAATAGTTATTTATCATGAATGTATTATTTACTTGTCTAAAACATAATCTTTAAAGTATACATAACTGTATATTTATCCTGGGTCCTTTCATTAAAAATTTAAGTTACTTTCATAACCTTATACTATCGAAGTATATTCTTACTACTGTAGAAACAAAAGAATTAATTCTCAACCTTATAAATTACCTTATAAAACACATGAATACTTTTACAAACATAAATCACTATATATATATATATATATATAATATATATATAAATGACCATGAAGTTGGTTGCAGTTCTGTGATTATAAAAAGTTTATTTAAAATTAATATTTGGTTAAGTGAGTGACTTTTATCGAGATTTTGTATATTTTGAGGATAATTTTTATTACGATCTGAAACCAGCTGAATAATCATTAAAATCCTAGAACAATTGAAAGTTGATGACAATCTTTCAACAATGAACAATCAAACCTCCATATGACACATAAATTGGGTTATTTATCATATTATTCGACTACTGAGCCATTTTTCAATAGTTCATATTCCCAATAAGTTCATTTTACCATTCAATGATCTAATCCTTATATGAATAACTGCATCGCTTTCAACTTTTATAACTCTATGTATTTATGCTTCGCGAGAATGTGTAAAAAAATACATAATGAGCTTAATCACTCTTAAGAAGTACTAGGTTTTTAAAGGGAACATTAAACCATCAAGTTTAAACTAGAAAACGTTTCCCTTCTTATTCACAAACTTTTCAACTGTCATAATGGATGAGACGTTTTTAGTTTATAAGAAACCCGTAATCGCAAGTAGTTTAAGTATGTAGGTCCATCTATTTTAATATAAAGTAAAGATTTATTGTGCTGTATAGAATATGTTTTACTGAAATCCCACACAGTTTATAAAGTATAAGTGGATTGATAAAACTATTCGGAAAAAATCGACAATTGAATCAGCATTTAAACGTATTCAATATTTGTGCAATTGATAACCAAAGATCATCTGAAAAATAAATGATAATGACAATTTCAATACGAAACTAATCTTATCGTATAAAATAATAGAACTTTAAACCATGAATGATATTTCACAGTGAATTATAGCATTTATGAATGAAAATAAAATGATTAATATTATTCTAAAATTTGTAATCCATTCACTTCATCTCTACAATGATAGTCAAATTCTCATCTAATATCGATAGTGTAAGACGAAGATTATCTGATAATCTTTGTCTTATTACGCTATCGAAATTTATCAAAGGGACTAATTGCTTTTAATCTCATCTAATAGTTTGATTCTCATGGAATATGTGATATACTATCGTTTTATAAAATTAGATAACATACCTGACTAATTCATCCCTTCAATTATATCATCATTCTGTACAAATTTATTCAATATTTAAACCGCTCTTCTATAATACTTCGAAATTGTCATTTGTGAATGTTATTAATGCAACGAGCATCCACGATCCCGCCTCTCGAGATTCGAACCCAGGACCTATCAGTTTCGTTCGTGAGCGCTTAACCACTAGACCACTGAGCCGGCATCCAACAGTGTTAATGTCTCATAATAGGACGAAACAGCCGTCCAGTGCTTCTAGGCTTTCCATGGGGGTCTAGTTTCAATTGATTCATGATCTCAACTATTAACATTCATAAGCGAAATATATTTGCAACTTCATGAATGTTGATTTTTACCCAAAAATTTGAGTTTTAATACATCATTTTCTAAACAAAATACTTTATCACATTAAATAAGAATAATATATTTGTAAAATCTCAGCGAATGAATTTGAAGTAAATCCAACGTTTCGCCTGGCAATCTGGTCCAAGCTTTTTCAAGGATGTATTTCCTCTCATTCTCTGAGATATTACAAATATATATTCAATGTCTTACATCAACTCGGCGCCCAAATACTGTTAAACTATTCGCTCTAATGTAGAAGAAAGTTCTTATATAAAAAACTTTATCAGTTAAAACAAAACGTAATACGATCCCGTTTTTATTATAGATATCATATTCATTAAGTTGTTACATGTTTTAACGTAATTGAAATCAAAAATAATAGAATAAAATCATAGTATCTATCATCTTCTTTATTATTTACCCTTGTACATCATGTAAAAGAATATCGTAAACTGTCAATTGCTTTCTTCTTTACGTAGATTATTGTATAGATTTTCAGTACCAATAAAACTACTTTCATCATATATCAGAACATTTAATTAAATTTTCACATGCTTTTATCAACTGACAAAATGCTTTTTTCTCTAAACATATAATTCCACTAGTAGCTCATATTCTCTCAAAATTTTATACTAACAACCATTTAATTGATTAATTATAAAAGCTGGTCTAGAGTTAAATTATGTGATATAAGATATGTGAATTAAATGGTTAAGCTTTTGTTTTAATCCAATAGATCGTGTAATACAAAAGCAGTATACAATTAAACATTCATAACAAACGGTAAAAGTTAATTCTTATTAGATTAGTAATAAATAGTAAGTTAGTTAGTTAGTTAAAAAGAAGGGAGTTTATTATAACTACCTACATTTCTATCAAAAATAATAATTAATCATTTTTACATATTTATAAAATTTCATTTAAGAAAATTAGATACTTCATGTATTAAAAATACTAGACAAATTGCTTTGTTTTAATTCATTTGATGAAACAACAACGACACACACACACACACGCACACAAATAACTTTAAATTAGCAAACAATCATGTGTTTTAAAGTATTTCAAGTTTTCACTTAACATTCCTCCTAGTCTCAGTTTTTTTTAAGTACTAAGCTAGTAACAAAAATTACACAAATTATTGATTTTAAAGTGAATTCAATTACATAAGTAGTAAATAAACATTTGATTTTTATGTTCCTCAAATATTTTATTTGTATTATTATCACATTAACAAATATTGTTTTCTTCATAATAATTAACGTGAACTAAAAGTTTAACTATATGGAAAAGTTACAGAAATTAAAGACGATATAATTTCAGTTATTATGATTACTAATGATTGTAGTAGGTTCACAAAAACATACGAGCTGGGAAATCATAAAATGGTATCAATTCATTAAATTATTGAATGTTGGATTGAGCTCTGTAAATAAGTGTTGCAACTCACTAGATAATCATTTCATATACTTAGAGTCCTCAACTTATAATTCCAGAAAGTGGCTGTAATAGTTCAGATATACTCAAATTCTTATTTTTCACTGAAAATATGAGCATTGAAGACATTCCGAATCCAAACATCGTTCATACTCTTTGAACTATGATTTCTATGTTCATTTTCAACCCTAATTATTATCATTATTTCAACTCTTCCGTACTAAATATCTGTAATTCTCTTTTAATACATTGATATGAAGTGTCAAAAAACTTAGATCGATAACGTCTGATTGGAAGTATTTACATAATGATAAAAGTAAACTCACCAATAAAGTCTCATATTTCATGGAGTTCATAGTTAAATCATTTTCTCTGTTGTAGCCGGATATTCATTGATTCAGCTTAGCGAGTGTTCATTTCATTATTTTAAGGAAACATCACTATATTTGTAAGTAAAGATGGATAGTGGCTAGCAGTGGAATCCAGGACGCGCGTTTCATCCTATTTGGGACTCATTAGCTGTATGTATCTGCATCTCAGAGTTGATGTTCACTCTGGAACTTGAACCCATTATCTTTCGCTTCAAAAGCCATCGCGTTATCCACTCAGCTAGGACGAAACGAGCGTCCTGGATTACACTGCCAGCCACTATCCATCTTTGCTTATAAGTTTTGTGAATTAAGGCTATATCGAGGCAATACGCACAGTATGCACATGTGCCAATAAGAGACTGATCAATTGCGGTCCTAAACATCAATGGGAAGATTCAAACAAATAATACCAAGTGAATTATTATACTTGGTTCCTTCTAATAAACTAGAAAAAGATAGCAAACAAACAGTATAAATGAAATTATATGAATTTATACTCAATAAAACTTGATTATTCATCAAGATACAGAAATGAATTGATGAAAAAATATATCGCTCGTTGTATTGATATCCATTTTCAAAAATAAAAGATAGCTTTTTGAATGTTACCAGCTTGTTTGATAC